TTTCTGGGCCGTCAAGAGGCAGTCCTTTAGGAGCCAATGTGGTAGTTATACAGCTCTCAAATTTAATCAAAAATATCTTCATTTGTGTTCCGAAGACGAACGAAGGTCTTACGGGGTTGGTACAGCATGGGGGTGAGTAATTAATGACTTAATTTTCATTTTTGGGTGAACTAACCCTTTAAGTTGAATTACTGAAATAAATGAACTTTTGATATTCTAATTTTTCGAGTAAATGTATGAAGAATGAACCATTAACTAATTAACAGTTCAAAGCCATCTGACTGACGAGTTGACATGAACAACCCGTGAAATTTAACGCAAACAGTAGGTTGCAACTAAATAATTACGTTTTCACTATTGAAAGTCATAATCAAAATAAATCTTCAGAAAAAAAGTTTGTTCGACATCCAACAACTAAGTGTAACCTGTAATTTAAAGTGAATAACCATTCAAATTAAAGTGAATGTTTTACTCCATGCATACACGTGTATAATAAATTTTAAGTGTATGAAGACTGACCCATGCAAAATAGGATATGAGCTGGCCATAAACAGTTTCTGACATTTTCCAATGTATGTGCCAGTGCAGCTAAATTATGTCCATTACCCAGACATTGCTTTCAAGAATTTTGTTCATTTCAGATCGGAAATCTGGATAGTTGTCATAGTGTACTGACAGCCTCAGGAAACAGCCACAGGTGTGTGACACTGGTCTTCTCTAAAACCCTTTAAGGTCTGTGAAATCAACTGTTATAGTTTTATCTATAAACAAATCTGATCCTGTACAAAATCTCAGAAACAGAGACAGTCGTTTGGCATCACACTCCCGCAAGTAAGCTGTCAAATGCTTTGAAATGTCCTTTTGGTGTGCATTCATTGCTTCAGGGAATTTGAGAGATCGCACAATTTTCCTCACTGTTGGTTGTAGTGCACAATACACATTTTCAATTTCCTGAAGGTCCTTCCTCAGAGGTCCAAGTATGCTCATCCACTGTTCAAGAACATAAGCAGGCTCTTGAATGAGAGTCTTGTGAGCCAGTTCTTGCAAAACTTGCACAAAGTTTTCTTCTGTTGGAATTCTACGACAACTGTAGTTGTCCAAGATCTCGATCAATTCCTCCTGGTCTGCACTACAGAAGTCTGTTCTGCAACTTGCCAGCAGCCATATCACCCTGTAGCCCAAGACTGGTTGCCCACTGAAGCTAAGCAGGGCTGAGCCTGGTTAGTACCTGGATGGGAGACCTTCTGAGAAGGCCAGGTTGCTGCTGGAAGAGGTGTTAGTGAGGCCAGCAGGGGGTGCTCACCCTGTGGTCTGTGTGGGTCCTAATGCCCCAGTATAGTAATGGGGATACTATACTGTCAAAGAGCACCGTCCTTCGGATGAGACGTTAAACCGAGGTCCTGACTCTCTGTGGTCATTAAAAATCCCAGGATGTCTTTCGAAAGAGTAGGGTGTAACCCCGGCATCCTGGCCAATTTGCCCAGTGGCCTCTTTCCATCATGGCCTCCTAATCATCCCATCTATACCAATTGGCTTCATCACTGTCTCCTCTCCACCAGTAAGCTGGTGTGTGGTGAGCGTTCTGGCGCACTATGGCAGCCGTCGCATCATCCAGGTGGATGCTGCACACTTGTGGTGGTTGAGGGAGATTCCCCTCTCTATGTAAAGCGCTTTGAGTGCCGAGAAAAGCGCTATATAAATGTAATGAATTATTATTATTATTATTATTAACTTTCTAAGACAGCACACTCATTTTCTGAGACATACTTTAAAAGTTGTCAATCAGATCACTTTTGACAGATCTTGTATTGCTTGCTCCAAGATGACAGGTGCCAGTTTTATTGGAAGATACTTCTCTTTCTTCCAGCCAAACAGAATTATTCGGGCAACACTTTCCCACTTTTCTTTCCCAAAATCATGCCGAAGAAAGGGAACTTTAAAATTGTTCCCAGTGTGCATTGATCATAAAATTCCTGCCAAAATTCTGATAGGCAATCTCTGAACACTCCACCGAAGTCATGGCCCATCTCAAACTGTCCATTTGGGAGGAGCAACTTCACTTCTACAGCACTCTGTGTGTGGTGCAAGGGTTTCATCACAGAAATGTGCAATAAGTTCTGAAAATATCTGTCCACGATGAACAACAAGAATTTTTTTGTCAGGAACTATGGGTTCCGGGCTCAGAGGCAAAGTGTCATCTAAGGATTGTTCATTTATTTCAGTGACTTCTCCAGTGAAAACTGTCACTACATCGCTTGAATCAAAATAATCCAGTGAGGTCATTGATGAACTTTGAAAAGCGACATTCAGATCATCTGTCAAATTTACATCCCTCTGCGGAATGTAAGGGAGATGTGTCGTCGTTGTCTGTACTTTCCACAAAAATTAAATCTGTGTCTGAAGCTTGAAAGAGGTCATTCATTCTTCTGGAAGAAGTGGGAAGATTTTGATCCTGATTATTTCTGTGCAAGTCCTCTATTGTGTCTGAATCTGATATTTCCACTCCACTTTCTGCTTCCACTTCCCTCGCGACCTTTCTTGTTGTGAGGTAGAACCTCATCATTGTGAGTTTGGATGCATTATACATTTCCCCCACTGTAGTTTCATGATCTAGTGACACTTCCTGATAATTTGTTAGATCCAATTCAAACTCAGAAACACTTCCATGAGAATTTTTTTCATCCGGGAAAAACAAACGAATTGCCTCCTCAATCAGTTCTTTCCTTTTCCAGTCTTTTGGCACACTCAACTTCCTTGTTCCCCCTCCCTTTTTTTGCTCTCATTTGAACAAAGCCCTGTCCATCATAGTG